TGAAAAATCTAAAAGTGCACGCCTCATAATTTCATTCTCCACAATAAAATTGATTAAAATAAAATAATAAAATACAAAATTTTTACATTACAAAATTTTTTTATATTAATACATTTTTTCTGGTTCTCTGTCGCTCTTCAATAATTTAACTGGTTTATTATCTGATTATAATTTACTTGTACACCAAGTTTCATTAAATTCTAGACAGTAAGTTTATAACCGAGGGTAGTACCTTAAACTATATTAGTGCGCTATAAAAAGCATTCTGTTGTAAAAACGTAATTGCTAACAGTATTGAACCATTTTTTATTTTTGTACTCCCTGATTAAAAAATCTAATTTGAAATAATTAAAAATAGTTTGAAACAATTAAAAACAATTCGGTTTGAGTTGACTAATACATAAAAATACATTTTGCATGGATTAAATCGTTTCAAATTTAATTTCCTAATCATAGTTATGTAGTTAGAGAAAAAATAGCCGGAATATATACTTAGTTCTCTTTCTGACAGCTACGAGCGCCGATTGTCTAATCTACGAAGCTCCGCCTACACTGCACTATATAGTTACCCGTTATATACTTCCGTATCCGTAGTAATTTAAAGTTCATCAGCCATTTCACAAAATTTACATCAAAAAGTGTATTTAAAATTTTACATTGTTGATTTTGGTTATTAAAACAATTATTTAACTACTAATTAACTTTAGTTCACAAAAGTTCAAAACTTTCTACTTATCACCTGAAAGTTTATCAAGTTTCAAGTGTGAATTGACATTTTTAGTAATTTTTTTACTAATTCAGTAACCTAAAAAGTCTCACGTGGTAATTCTTAAATTATTATTTTTTGAGTTATAAATAATAGTGACACATTTTTTTAAATTAAAAATTTATAATTTCGCTAAATTAATTATGGCTAGTAATCATCCCAGTGAATCGTTGTTAAATACTATTCAACAGAATGACATCGATAATTTTGAATTATTATTATCTAAAAAAAAACTTTCGTCTCATCCTGAGTTCAAAGTTGACCAAGGTTACGAATTGCTTCGAGAAGCTATTACACAAAACAATGTACAAATTGTTGCATCGTTGATTAAAAATAACGCTAAAATTAACAACCCCTGTGATTTACAACAAAAAACAACACCACTGGAGTTAGCGATCAACACCAATAATCCCCAAATGGTTGAAATTTTATTAGACAACGGTGCTCATATCAACTCAAAAAGTGTGAGCTCTTCTACTCTAGGAATTTCATTTGAAAAATTTTACAAAGCCCGACAGAATTATTTTCAATTCATATCTTCGTCAACTTCCAAAAATTCTACTCCGGAGCGTTTATCGATCGTAAAGTCAATTAAACAAGAAATAAAGAACATTACTGTCATTATCGAATTGTTACTGCAATACGGTAATTATATTGATAAAAGCTACTGTAAAAATGGATTGATTTTGTTGTTCGAGACATTCAACGAAAGTGAATTAGATTTGATAAAATTGTTACTAGACTATGGCGCTGATATTAATGCCGTTAATATATTCAACAAAAAAACATTTATCGAAAATATAATCGAGCTTTTTAACAATTACTTGTCTTTTTATAATAATCATGAATTCGAACGCTTGGCATTGATTAATTACGAGAATATAATTAAGTATCTTATAAGTTATTGCGTTCAAATGATAAATTTAAATCAGTTTGTATCGAGTAATATTTTGACGATCATTGACAGTAACACTAAATATATTGACTATAGACAAAAATGTGAAAATGAGATCATTAAGATGAAAAAAAACGCAGTTTCCAAACAATTAATTGATGTCTATGCAACTTTTATCGGTGATATAGATTTTTTGATAGATTACAAATACAAGGACGGAATTGAAAATTTTTTGAACTCTCAAGAATTTTTAAAAATGTATCCGATTTATGGAGAAGAAATTTTAAAACGTTTTAATCAAGTTAATGAGAAAAAGGACTTATTGAAGAAAGCTAAATTGTGTTTCGATATTCATAATTCTAAAGGCGATGATGTTGAGCACATTGCGTCCGCTAATAGAATGCTCAATGGTAATTTGAGAAAAAGCGACTTTTATAATCTTGTTAATATTTGGAAAATTTATTTGGATGATGAAAACAAATTTTGTGGAATCCGCTCTTTGACGGTTGGATCTATTGTATATTTTTTTATTATAATATTTGTATTAGTGATTGTATTAAAATTATTTTTTACTCTCGATGACATTGATACTGAAAATGTATGGTAATTTTTAAGATGATAGGAAATTTTGTATTATAAATTGTCAATAATTAAGTTTTTAAATATCAATATATTTAAATAAGTTAGGTTTTAATTAACAAACTATATTTAAGTTGACTATAAAATTATACATGTTAAGAGTAGAAATAATCTATAAAATTATGAATTGTAAATTTTTAATGTGTTTATATAAATGTAATACTAAATATAATGGAATAAATATTAAAATATAACATTTAACAAAATTTTTTTTATCATTAAACTGCCATAACTTTATAAAAAAAAACAATAATTGTTTAAAAGTGAGAACCACTTTATTTTTTACGATCCAATCAGCATGATTAATATTTTTTTAAACACTTTTTTATTGTTCATATTATATAAAATTGTTTGAAAAAAATAATTTTAAAAGAACATCAATTTCTTAAACAAAAAAAAAGTTTTGTAGAAATAAAAATTCGAAAAATTAACACTGCTTAAACATTTTTTGTTAAAATTTTGTTTTCAAAGTTTTAACATTATGTATTTAATTTTTTTATTTTACGTCAAAGACTTTAAAAATAATTTAAAAATTTATTTCGTCGAAGAACACGTTAATTATTTATTTACAATGAAATTCCGAATAAATGTCTATTTTTAATTCTTACATTATAGAATTATAGTTACAATTTAATCTAATTAGTTTAATCGCGGTTTTTGAACTAGAAGATAAATGTCTTAGGTAATTTTTAAAATTAAGAAATTCGCAATCAATATCAAGCTTCTCTTCTCTTGAAATTATATCTCCAAAAACAAACTTCGTACCCCAAGCATGTCTAAATTCATTATCTATCAACACTAAAAGTTACGAAACCGTAATAAACCCTCCAGCTTTATCAGCTTTATGAGCCAACAAATAATTTATCATAAAATTCCAAACGACTTGTCGGCAGCCGTAAATAATCCTCTTCATTGTTTATCCCTTGCAACATAAACATCCCTTAAAAAATTACTATAACTAAAACTATTTTTATAAAAATCGATACTCGACAGTTATAATTTCCAATCCTTTATTAATTTACGCTAAATAATGTCATATTTATAAAAAATACTATTAAATGTACCGGATTTTTTTTTCAACTAATTTTTATTTAGAGTCGGTTTTAACTACTGTGGTCATATCGCCGACTTTGTTGGATTTATAAAAGTAAAATAATTAAATAAAATTTTTTATAGATATCTAAAATAATAAAAAAATTTCAGCAATATCTAATTTTATAGTTTTTTATGATTCATTACAATTATTCCAATAAAAACTTTTCAATTGTTATATCAAAATTCTTCGCAAAGTAAAATTTACATTTTTCCTAATGTAAACTTAACATTTCTACACAGAAAAAAAAATTTACTTGAATCAAGTAACTAATTTTGAAGAACATCTTCTTGATTTAAGAAGAAAAATTCTTAAACTAAAAAATTTTATTGGTTTAAATAAATTTTACTTGATTCAAAAATTTTTCTTCTTGATTTAAGACAATAAAAATCTTTAAAATTATTTTTTTAGTTCAACAATTTTTCTCTTAATTCAAATTTTTTTTTCAAAATTTCAAAAAATATAAATTTAACATTTATGACTAGAATAAAATTATGAATTTAATAAATATTTCTGTATTTTTGTCGACTTTTTTCGGTATTAAATTTTTAATTCACTAATATAATGTCCAAACTCATAAAAAAAAAAAAAAAAAAACAAAATAAAATAAAACAAAACAAAGGTACAATAGATTATTGTTTAATATCGATTGATTGTCTGGAGTCTAGACATACAGTGGTGTGTTCTTTGACAAGCCATACCGGCGTGTCAACAAACAATCTCATCCTTTTATACCCTCTCTAAAGTCCGCACTCGGAATTCACTTGAATACACTTTTTCTGTCGTGTGTCTCTTCCTCCCACATCCTTTCGCCCCCTCCCACATCCTTTCGCCCCCTCCAACCACCATACAAACAACAACAACAACAATCAACCCGTCGAATGTTATTAGACCGACTAGTACATCAAGTATGAACCATACGCTGTAGTATTAAAGCATTATATATAATACATATTATATTATGTTATTATTGAGTATTTTACGTTTAAGAGAGAATGAGAGGTTGATAATAAGGGATGCAAGCCGCATCATATCCTATCTCCCGTTCTCCACCCTACTCCAGGGAATAGCGAGTCTGTGTGTGTATAGCATTGCAGATAGAGGGTTGTAAAGTCACATCTTCATTCTCATCCTCTACGTCTGCATGCTCATACTCTCACACATGCATATACAGAGTGAAATTATTTGAAATGGTTCGTAGCTCCGGCGGCGCCGTACAGGCGACACCAGTTGGCAGTTTCCTCTAAACGTCTGGGGGTGGATGACGGATCCACCCTCGAGTTAGTCCGTTATTTTTACTATTGTATACACTCGTCTCTAGTCTCAAATTAAATCGCGCAAATATTTCCTACATTATAAAATTTTAATCTATTTATTATAATAATTATTGTAAAATATTTTTGATATTTTTAGCCGCTTCCAATTACAGTTTTAGTCAAAAAATAAATACGGGATTTTTTTAATTTAAAAAAAAAAAAAATATTTAATAATGTTCGCTGAAAATTTATAAAATTACAAGTGATGTTACGTGCGCTGTGATTTAGTGTAATTAAACAAAAAATTATTAGGTTTTTTTTATGAAAAATAGAGACTCAGGATTTTAAAAAATGAATCGAGACAATGAAGAAGTAAGTATTTAAAATTGAAAAAAAAATTTTTTGATAAGATTTTTGAACGGAATTTTTTTTAGCAACGACCGACATCACAAACACTCTGTGGTGCATTGCAAAAAGAAGCTAATTGCAAATGTTTAGTACTGTCAGTATTAATTTATGGTTGCCTTGCTGCTGTCACGTGGTGTAGGTGCGCTAATATTACGAAGGTGTGTCTAAAATTTTATATTAAATATTCATTAAATTTAATAGAGAATTTTTTAATGATAAATTAATTGATTTTTTTGGCTTTATGGATGCGAGTTAAAGTACTTGGGTTGAATAAGAGGACTCTAATTAATGGTAATTTGTCTTTATTTTTAGATTGTAATTAATTTTTCAAAATACCCGCTCAAAAGTACCAGACACGTGTCTCCCTGTGATGATGGATATATTTATATTCCTGTAAGTTTTGAATAGATTGTAATTATTCACTTGATGGCCAAGTTTTAATTTTTTTTTTTTTTTTGATTAATTAAAAAATAAGTGCTTGAAGTAATTTTTGAATATTTTTTAAGCGAGGTTCTAGAAATGATGAAATGCAGCAGTTAGATTTCGTGGAATTTAAATTCGTTGCTGCTTCGATTTTTAACGAAATTCGTGCGTCTAATTATATAATTACAATGTCATGCGAAAATTTATTGATGTACTAAACTAGAAGGTCAATAGATAAATTTTTTTTTGAGAAATAAATTATAATAATTTATCAATTTTTTTCAAATTTTGCAGTATAAATATTTTTTAATTAAATAAATATTTGGAAAAATTAAAATTTCATAGTTGAAAAACTGTAAAAATCAAAAAATTATTTTTAATAACATTATTATAGTATTACATTGGAAAAAAAAAATTCTTAACTAAAAAGAAAAGTCCTTCGAATCATGAAAATAATTTTGAATAAATTAATAATTTTCAATCAAGCAAAAAAATTTCTTTGACTTAAATTAATTATATTTAAAATTGTTCTTCTTGAATTACATTTAATAAAATTTTCTAAAACATATCTTCTAATTAATTCACTCATAAAAATTTATCACACAAAATTTTTGGTCTTTCTAAAACTTTTTTGTACACGAATTAATTATTTTTCTAATATCAAAAGTATCTACTAAAATTCAAGTAATTTTTTCCTATTTAAAATATATTATACTTATGAAAATATTGGTAATTAAATTATAAACTGCCTATAATTATCTGCGTACATTATTAATATCTATACAAAGGCCTGAAGCAATTAATACAAAATCAATTTTATCTAGTAATTAGTAGGCAAACAATGACCAAGTGAAGGTTAATTAATTTTAGTGAGTAAACTTGAGAGTAACCGGTAGTGAAATGGAAAATAGTTAACTTTTTAATACTGGCCTAGGTCAATTATTAAGTGATAAAAATTACAAAATTAACTTAATTCAAAGGTAATATTTTTGAATGAAGTAAGATTTTTTGAAGACATAAAATTCTTTAAAATAATTTTTTTCTTGGATTTAAAATTTTTTTATAAGGTTATTGTTATTGTTATTGTTATTGTTGGTGTTTAGGTCGCATTTATGGGAATGCTTTATTTAGTTTACTTGGTAGAATGTTACCACTCACCGATACGAATAGATCTATTACATGGCGAAAGTCAGGACAGCGTTTTAACGAAATTGTCTCAGCTACGTCTTGCTCAACCTACTATCTGGTGGAAAGCTGTTTCTTATCATTATGTCAGAAGAAAACGTCAAATTACACGGTATAGGAATGGCGATAACTACACAACAACACAAGTAAACATTATTATTATTTTTTTTTTTTCATTGCTATGAATAGAATAGAAAAAAAAAGTATTTATTTCCGATATATCATAACTGCTGACAGATGACCGCTCAATTTTGATTAAATGTTATCAGTTATCAGTTATCATCAGAACGATAGAACCATCCCGCTTTGCAATCAATATAAAAAATATAGAGCTCTTCTCTGAAAATGAAAAAAAAAACTATTAAAATTTTTGACCTATTCTGTCTCTAAATATTTAATGAAAATTAAGTTAGCGGACATTTAAACATTTAAAAAATTTTTTTTATTTAAAAAATAATAAAAAAAAATTTTAATATGTGAAAATATTGAAAAACTATAAGTGAAATTTTTAAACAATATTTTTTAGTTATAATTTGATAAATAAAAATAAAAAAAAATTTCATATGTAAAAATATTGAAACACTATAAGTGAAATTTTTAAATAATATTTTTTAGTTATAATTTAATAAATAAAAAAATATCAAAAACTTCGGCTAACTTTAGTATTATAAATATTTAATAAGATTAAGAATAAATTTAAAAACTTTTGATGAGGGTGGTTAAAGAAAAAAACAATCAAACTGTCATAAACACATGACGTTTCAGTTAAATCTGCTTAGAGTTTTTCTAGCAAGAGAAAAAAACATACAGGACACGTTAAGGTCCGACCCCTTGCTCTTGTTGGCCAAATAAAAAAAAATGTTCAACTTGTTTTTCAATATAAAACATCTGCAGTTATGGTCGTGAGTAAATCGAGGGAAAAATCATGACCAGTAAATGTTCATAGATTTAGATTAGAAAAAAGACGTCCGTCAGCGTCAGCCAACTATTTTTCTCCATTACTTTTTTAATCTAACCAAATGAGTTTACTTCTATTAAATTTATCGAAAAATCTTTAGGAGTGATAAAATTATTTATTAAATTAAAAATTAATTTTTTTGTCATTCAAAATAAATGTCAAATACAAAGATATCAACACCTCAAATATCAGGTTTAGGTTTGATTGAATTGCAGAAGCTGGAGTATTGATTGATTGTGATTTGATACCTTAGTATTTGACTCTGATATAACAGAAACACGCACAAATGTTAAAATTTATACTATTCAGATGTCTGGAGAAGTTCAAACAGATAAATTTAAACACATAAATTCTATAGTTCTTATGATTATTATTATTGTGATTGATAATATGTATCCACGGTTTGAAAAAAAAAATTTCACTTAAAGGTATACTATGAGCGAGTAAACACACACGCAGCAACTTCCTTTTATTTTTACGACTACTGCGGTGTCAAAGACATCAGCAAGGATCTTGTGATGGACCCGAAAATTCCAATAACTAAAATAAATTTGAGTAAAGGGTTTGCATTTTCCAACATGAGATCTGCCACCGAGTTCGAGGAAGCGAGGTCGAGATTTTTCGCCGAGCAAGTGAGTAAAGCATTTTTATCCTCTTTATTTATAATTGACAATTTCAGTTATTCACTTTAAAAACGCTTCTCGGCTTAATGGATTCAGAATGGATTACAGGGTAAAATTTTATCCCCGAGTCGATTTCAACAAATTTTCATTTTATATAAAATTATTTTTTCATTAATAAAAGTAAATTGTTGTTATAATGTCATTTTTCTCGACAATTATAATTCATAATTATTAACTATTTCAGAATTGAAATTTTAAAGCAATTATATATATCATTAAATTGTTATTTTTAGTAAATATACGATGTTGACAATTCTTTTTATTTTACAAAATAGCGGCTTAGTAAAATTTTTTCATTACTTCGACGCAAACTTTAAAAGTGCTGTCACTCTTATTCTATTGATGTAAAACAAAAAAAAAAATTGCTTTAAATTTCTGACATATGAACAGAAAAAAGAGTCCAAAAATGGTACAAATGTATGAAATAAAAAACTGTCTTTAAAAAAAAGTTCACATTTCGTACTATTCTATTCGACATTTATTCATCCTAAAAAAGTATTTTATTTGCATTAAATCTTTAAAACTTTAAGTACTTACCTCCTTCCAGTAATAATATAGAAACAAGTTTCACAAACTTTCAAGTAAATCGATCAATAACTTTTTTAATTACATTACGAGTAGTTTTTTTACAATACAGTTTCGATAAAATTGCATTAAAAGTTTCAATACGATAAATAATAAGAGCTCTCTAGTATGATCAATAACTCTTTAAATATACAATATTTTAATTCTTTTTTTTTTTTTTGCCGGTATACTCTCAATATATTATACTTCCAAACTTTCTATTTTTTAAAGCTTCTAGTGAAATATTCCCTCTCAAATCTTAATAATCCTGAAATCAGCCGACAATTAAAAATTTTTTTTCAAACTAAAAATCCAAAAGATTATTTCTCAAATTTTTTTCTCAATTTATTTTGTAACAATTCGAAAAAATTAAAAAATTTTTCAGCTGTCTGCTGATTTTAGTTTTATTTATAAATAAATCTATAGATCCCCCAACATTAGCTCAAATAAAAATAAAAATGATTAAATAACTTGATTATAAATAACCCTCAAGATAAATCTCTAAATTAAAGGAATTACGTGACGACTACATGGAGATGCGTGAAGGTTTAGACCTAGGGTACAACTTCAACACCTCAACGACCCTGGTGGCGGTGTTAGGGCGACCATGGTTCACCAACACCTACGTCTACTGGTGTCTAAGTGCTCTTCTGCTCAGCTGGCCACTGAGGATAATAATCGAGTGCAAAACGCAGTACGCAAACTACCAAGTAACTAAATTATTCGGAGTTAACTACGACACGCCATCTAGTACGCAAATTCACGCTTCACCAAGCCAATTGAGCGCACCTGGTTCTTATATGCTGGCGCCCAGTTATTCAGAGGCGTTGTTGATGGAACCCGCTGTCTCATTGTCCCAATCCAACCACCATGAAAATGATCACCCAAGCGAAATGATGGTGCCAAGTTACTCGGAAGCGCTTTTGTATGAACGCGCTGCTGGTGTTTCTTCATCTTCAACTTCAACACCCCAACCAGATTTTAACAATGAAGTAGCGTGTACTGTCGGTAGAAGTACAACAACTTCTTCAAGTCTTTACGCCATTGTTGAAAATCCAACTGTTGAATGCAATTGTCACTGTCATCAGTTACAAATATTCGATGATGACAATGACATTGATAATGATAGTAAAATTTATTGTAATAATAGTAATATTAATAGTAATGGTAGTCTAAGAGGACAATCTAGTCCTGATATACGTGCCTGTAATAATTGCAGCGCTTATAACAATTATTTACTGATAAATAAAACCAATTTTTCAGGGATACCAATCTATAATCATACTAATAAGATACCACGTGATGTTTCCGCGCCAAATTTGCATAGTTATTCCAGTGACTTAATGAGGAACAATAGTTTACAAGTGCTTAGAGATAATGGACGTAGTTTAGAGAGTATACTCGAGAGCGAAGAGACTATTAGTTTAAGAGAGATGGATGAAAGGGCCAGAATTAATACCATGCGTGGGGCCATTCCTAAAAAAACAAGGAGTAATGTTAGTAGAAAAGATTCCGATATTAATGACATCGAGGGTGGAGAGAGGAGCGACAAGATTCCTGGGTCAAAAACTTACTTCTGCTTGAAATCGATTCTCAAAAAAAAGAAAAGGGATAAGAGACGGTATACTTTAGTTACCACGGAAGAGTTGAAGTATTTGAATGATTCTGTTGGTGAGGGCGCCAGGGATGATGGCGAAACTGTTATTTTCCTGCAAGATAGTCCAGAGAGAAGGAGGTGGGCACAAATCGATCAGGCGAAACGTGATAATCCTTACAGGTAAATATTCTTTTTATTCTATACACAGAAAAAAAAATTTACTTTAATCAAGTAAATAAATTTGAAGAACTTCTTGATTTGAGTAGAAAAATTTTTAATCTAATAAAATTTTCGTATTGATTCAAGAAAATTAAATTCAAAATTATTTTCTTGGTTCAAAAAATTTTTTTTTAATTTAAATTTTTCTTTTGGGTATAATTGAGAAAATAAGATACTTTTTTTTGGAATATTTATAAGATAAAATAAAATGAGTTTTTTTCAGTTAAATTTATTATAATTAGAAATATATTGACCTAAATATTCGTCTTTTAAATTTTTCATACGATTTTTTAGCAATGGTTAATTTATTAAGATGAATTTTGGGAGTGATTATTTATTAATAACATAAGATGAATGACTCAAGTTTGAATTATGGATGATTCAAGTAATGGATATGAACGCGTACTTGCACCGAGACGCTACCGTCTTTGAGTTGAATTATTTTATGAATGCTTTTTACTTATATAAATATTAAAATTGCCGTTTTTTAGGAGTTTAAAGGTTGTATATGCTCAAAAATGTAAAGTAAGATACATAATACATAATACTGAATTATTATATTAGACTTTTCGTGACTTTTACCAGTTTTAAAAGAAAATATTAGCTTCAGACTTAAACTGATTATAAATTCTTCTTTGCTAAAGTATTACTTAGTTGTTTGTTTAAAAATCATGAAATTGAATTGAAATGAATTTTTAAAATCAACAGTAGTTTTTTTTCTGCCTGATTGAAGGTTTTTGTAGAATTTTTGTCATAAATTTAGAAAAGAAAGATCACAATATAAGATATCATAAATAATAAGGTACCCGCGGGTAATAAGACCTAGTATATTTTTATTCTTATTTTATTTTCCTTTATTGAAACCCAATAGCTAGAGGCAAATGACAGGGTCACTTGATACAATAATATAAAAAAATTATGATGACAAGGTAAACTTTTATAAGACTTTATATGAGCTAAATAGTTAGCTAATTCGCAATTTAAGCTGTAATTAATATTACCATAATGATCAGCCCCCATGAAAAAAAAAATATATTTTAAATATATTAAAAATCTATAAAAAATATATAAATTATGTATAGTAAATATTTTTTTAATAACTAACTTTTGGCCGATTTTCATATTTATTTTATATATTTGAAATATATAAAATATATTTTTTTATATTTTTAGCTATGTATTTTAAATATATATCTTGAACACGCATAAAAACGATTTTGTTGAAATAACAAAAGACAGGATAACTGAAAAATATGTTCTGGTAACAAATGAGTATAGTGATAGCAACAAATCCATTAGTTGTATTAACAAAATGTTTCAAGTTGTACTAACAAACCAGTTTGTTAAATCACAAAGTAAATTTGTTGCTCTAACAAAATCATTTTGTTGCTATCACAAAATGACTTTGCTGCTGCAACAAAATGATTTTGTTGCTGTTACAAGGTAATTTTGTTGCAGTAACAAAGTGATTTTATTGCAATAACAAAACTAATTTGTTGCTTTTTAAATGTATTCTTATAAAATTGACTGTAACAAATTTATTTGTTATTTCAACAAATTCTCATTGTTATTCTTACAAATTCTCTTTATTACTTCAACAAATTGTCTTTGTTAACTCCAACAAATTCTTTTTGTTATTTTAATAGAATAATTTTGCTGTTTCAACAAAAAAATTTGTCATACCAACTAAAGTATTTTGTCGAATCAACTTCAAGATTTTGCTATAGCAACAAAACTGTTTTGTTGTTATAACATATTAATAACTTGTCATAACCTAAATTTTGTTATTTTAACATACGATTTGTTATCCCTATGTTAACAAATTCATTTGTTACTATAACATATCTTAAGTTATTTTAACAAAATTTTTTTCTGCGTGAATATATCTAAAATATATATGAAAATTGGCCAAAAGTTAATTATTAAAAATATATTTACTATACATATTTTTAATATATTTTTTACATACTTCGAAATATATTTTTTTTTCATAGGGGAGGGTTTTTAGATTTTACTATGGATGCATAAAATAGTAAATATTATTTGTAATTGAATGGAAAATAAATATGTTTACAGGACACTTATTTTTGCCAGTCCAATTCACGAAGTTTGCCGTTCAAATGATCCATTCATTGGCGACGATAATGGAAAGAGCCAAGACGAATTACCTGATAACAATATTTCAGATCTTCCAGTTCTAACGCGATTAGGACGATCGCTGACAGTTTTAAGTGAATCCGAGTTACCTTCAGCGAATCCTCACAACACTAATAGTAGTAATAGTAATAGTAATAGCAAACGAAAGAAGCTACGTTCGAAGCATCACAGAACAATGAGCATTGAACCAGAATATTTACAATTTTTTACGTCTTCCGACGACGCGAGTTCTCCATTCCCACAGACTCCCAACAGTAATAGTAATAATTTTACAACCACCAGCAATAGTGGTAATTACTTTGTTAATAATGGCACACGGTTAACGCGATCGTTAACCGAAAGACGTTCCAAGTCCTCCGTTAGGGATAAATTTATACGAAGAAGTTTCACCGATGAACGTACTGATTTTGGTACCAAGCGAATTAATTTGAACCTAGAAACTTCTTTATAATGAAATGCTACAATTTTATTTCTTTTATTCCAATCAAAATTAGCTAATAATTAAGCCTTAAGAACTTTTTTTATTTTGTACCAAATCGGCTTTTTACTTTAATTAATTTATAAAAATTACAATTGCCTATAAGTGAAGAAAAATTAAATAATAATAAAAATTTTTTTTAATAATAGATCTGTTGCAAAATTCTGAATAACTTTTTATGAAAATTTTTGAGAGATCAATTTTCATTATTGAAAAATTAAAATGAAAAATTTGATGTAATTTGTCCTAACCTGAAACTCTTTTACTCATCCGCAATAAGTAAAATTAACCTCACATTAAGAATTATAAATTTTTTCAATTTTTCAAAAATTATAGAGTTCTTATTTGTAAAAATTTAATTTTTTAAATTAAAGAATTTTAATAACCATAAAGCTTCCGCTAAAAAAAAACTTCATCTTGTAGTTTTTGGAGGTCGCCATTTTGGCGGAAATAATTAACATTACCAAGCGAAGCTTTTATTATTAGGACAAAAAATGGCTGGTTTGGTATACAATATATATAGCTCAATATATATGATAATTATTGATAAAATTTATTAGTAAAATTATTATATGAATATAAGAAAAAATAATGAAGAAAGAAATTTTGAAAGTTAAATAATTTATTGTGACGTAATGAAATGCACAATTGAGAAAAATATATTTATAAATGTATGTATGAAATATACATAATGTTGTAATATTTTGGTTAAAAAATATGCTCGTCTCTACAATTATTTATTACTTTTTTTTCGGTAGATAAATTAAATTTATAAAAATATTAATTGACAATTAAATTGAAAAAAAATTTTTTATTTAATATTATTAAAGTGAAAATACAAAATTTGGTTTGTAAAAAAAAATATTAATCTTTTAAATAATTAATATTAAAATAGCTAAATATGCTAGCAAATAAATGAAAAATGAAACTAGTTAATCTATTGTCAATTGTGAAACTTTCGGCTAATGTGAATGAATTTAAAAAAAAAGTAATTAAATAATACTATTGTATTTACCAAGGAAAAATTAATTATTAAGCTCGAATATGTGATAAAAAAATATTTGTGCAATTACAGAAACTATTGAAATTTTTAATAATGCAAAAAGTAAATAAAGTAAAAAAGACCAAAAAATATTTTGCGCTTTATACATTATATTAACAATGAAGTCTTTCTGAACTGCCACATTAGTTGATAAAATTTAGCAAGCATTATGAATATTTTTTTGTTGAAAAAAAAACAAAAATTTCTTAACAATACAGTTTTTTAAAGTGTATTGTTAGCTGTAAGCAATGAGTAAAGTAATTGAGTCTAGAAAATTATATTTATTTTGAAGAGTCCTGGCGGATCTAAATTACGGTAAGCTTCCATAAAAATCGCCGGTAATTTTTCAATTACAGTCCGGTGATTTTTCTGATAATTTATGATAAATCACCGTAATTTAAAACCGCCAGAAAAAAATATAATCAGTATTAAAAGTTGATAGCGTAAAAAAAGTTGTTAAATTGTGTAGAAAAATTAGATAAAAATTGGGGAGGAAATTATTTTTAATCGATTTGAAGTAAAGTATAAAATTTAAATAAATAAATATATATTTGACAAAAGTATATGATAGAAACAAAGTAGCTTACGCAGACAATCGAACCAGTGAGGAAAGAAATTAGGAGCAGAAAAAAAATTTTTTTATTAAGTAAACATTTAAAAATTGATATTTAATTAAGCAACGCATAATTCAATGCCGTCTGGATAAAGTGCTCTTGTATAATTAAAAAAAAAAAAATTGATGAAAATAAAACGTTTTTAGATGGTAATTATTGTACGCTAATATAATAGCTAAATTTGACTCAATTGAGTTTGAATTCATTAATGCTTTGTAAAAATAATATTAATGAAAAAATGTATTCTAATAACTAAATCTAAAAATAAATAAAATAATGGAAAAATTAAAACAAAAGTTATACAACAATAAATATTGATGTTATTGTGGTTATTATTGAAAACAAATCCATTGCATATTGTACTTACTCAACAGTAAACTATAAATATAAAGAAATATATGTAAATACATATTGTGTGATGTAAAATACATGGATTGAGTTACAATAAATGTTAAACCATACAAACACATTTTTAATGCCGATATTTTCGTAGTTTTAGTTGTTTAGTATTTTATTATATTTTTATTTATTTATTTATCATTGATGTGTATAAGAATAAACTAGTAGGTGTTTGTGGTATTCAGGCACACTTTTATTTCATAGATATATATATACACAGAAAAAAAGGTTCACTTGAGCCAAGAAAATATTTTTATTTCTAATTATTTTCTTGAGCGAAAAAAAATTTTTTTTGACACAAGAAATTTTACTTATTCCAACAAAATTAATTCTCTTGCTTTAAGAAGTACGTATCTTGATCCAAGAAAATTTATTTAAGTCAAGAAAATCTTATTTTGAGAAAATTCAGTTTGTTGCTCTAAAAAATTTAGTTCTTGATCGAAGTAAATTTTCTTGTCTTGAGAAAATTTCTCTCTTGCTCCAAAAAATTAAATATATTGATAGTAAATTTTCATTAATATTTTTATTGGTTAACATGTCAAATGGGAAGATCAAATAATATTTCATCATTTTTTTTCATTCAATATGTATAATTGTACGCTAAAATAATATAAAATGAGTATCAAATATTCAAGAGAAAAATTTTTTCAAGGTGAGAAAATTTTTTTCTCAGCTGAAGTAAGTGGCTCTGCTTCCTTCAAGTATCTAAAAATCTTGATCAAGTATAAAAATTTATTGTATCAAGTATTTATGATAATTTGAATTAAGAAAAAATGACTTCCACCAAGAATAGAATTTCAAGAAAAATTTTCACTTCGGCCAACACAACTTCGGTCTTCCTTCAGGCACCTGAAAATTTTCTTGAGCCAAGAATTTTGTTCTCCAGTCAAGGAATTTTTCTTTCTGTGTATCTATTAGTTTCAACTTTAAAGTAATCACGCGAATTATTTCAAAAGTATGCAACTTTGATTTTTTGTGCTTTTATTTTTCAAACATGTTTTTCATACTTTGCATAATTATTTGTTGATGTAAATTTTCGCGACTGCTTTAAAGTTTCAGTGTTTTTCTTCATGCATTTAATTAACAAATTTAATATTAACTTTAATCGTTTTGTTCCTTCATCCTCTGTACTTATCCATAACTAGAATAACAAAACTATAACCATTAATTTTTATGTCAAAAAGTTTGCAAACTTTTTAACTTAATATTTTTTTTTATTCTTTATAGAACTTGTAATGAAAACTATAAATTTTTTTATTATTCATTTATAATAAGTTTATAAAAAAATTAAAAAATCCAAAAGCGCAAGCCTCTGATGCTCGTAAAATTAAAAATAGTCTTTCTAATTTTTTTTTTTTTTTATTAATTAAATTACAATTAATTATTTGTCGATTATAGTTTTTATTAAATTCATTAATCGCTTAATGTTTATAAATTCGACACATTTGTTAGATTTTTTTTTGCAATAATTGTCATGACAGATAATTTCAAAAAATTAATTTAAAATTAAGTAATACAAGAAAATCCTTTCTTATTAATTCTAATATACTTTCATAATTATAATTATAATAAAAATTTCCTAAGTAAGTTGATTTTTTTTTTCCTAACTTATAAAAAATTACAAATATCATGACAATTATTATTTTTTAATTTAATTTACATACATATTATATTATATAAATTTTTAAGTGAAAATTATATTGTGCTGTTTTTTTAAACTCTATAAATAAATAATATTAATAATTAAATAAAAATAAATTATTCAAAAATAATTAACAGACCTAACATTGATTTTTTTATTCAAATAACTGTTACTTATATTTTGAATATGACTCGTAGTGTTATCAGACTAGTACATCATTGAATAGTGCCTGTTATCGTTATTGCAATTGTAATAAATCCTTAAAAAAAATGAATAGTAAAATTAATAAAAAATATTAAACAAATACAATATTAGCCTCGATAATTAGATACTCACAAGTTCAGCATAAATAATTTTTATAAATCTTTATTGATAAGTCGTGGCTGTGGTGTGATTTTGTATTAATTGTTATAATTATTAAGATGAATCATTCGCGAAACCAGGTCTTGTGTAGTAAACACGATAATAAAGTGTTTTGCTACGCCACAATGAATAGGAATTGTCAAATTTAAGAAGATAAATACCCTGACCTGGATACGTATGACTTCCAGCATAAATTTCATCCTGCGAGTCTCTTCTGTATATCTGAAATATAAAAAGAATAAAGTTAAATAAATCAATAATCCATTTATTACACTTTCAAATAGGGATCGCATTATCCTTCTTTTCAGTGTCATCGTCATAAATATAGTTAAAGTTTAAGTTAAAAGTTCTGGATTTTGTTTGCTACTTTATAAAGTTTTCAGAAAAATTATGCATGGACAGAATAGTTGGAAAGATCAAAACAAAAAAGAAAATTTAGTTTCTAGTTTTTATAAATTCAAGTTCTTGATACATTTTTCAAAATTTTTCTTCTTTAAAAAGGGTAGTCTAGTCTACACTGAAAATAAAATTAACTTTAATCAACAGAAACATTTTTGAACCAAGAAAATAATTTTTAAGAGTTACACTGTCTTGAATCAAGATGAAAAATTATTAAATCAAATAAAATTTACTTAAACCAAGGAAAAATTTCTTCATTTGAAAATTTTTCTACTTAAATCAATAAGATGAAATTCTTCAACATTATTTACCTTGATTTAAGTTAATTTTTTTTTCTGTGTAGAGACACGAATTTAGACTGAAAAGTATTTTAAAGCTCGATAAAAAAATAAATATTATTCCGATCCATTTTTTTACTGTTTTTATGTATTGGAATTTTAAAATTGTAAAAAAAATTTCCAAACAAAAAAACTAAAAATTAAAAAATGAGAGATAAGTAAAGTAGAGAATAAAAAAATAGCGCGTCTTAGTTGAAATGATTCTAGTTCTTGTAGTTATCGAGAATGAAAAAGAAGAAAAGATTCTTTATCAGTATGGATGTCATTATAGGACAAAATTTAGGACAAAAGGCTAGAAAAAAATTTTTTTTTGCAAAAATTGCGAATTTTTGAAAACAGAAGTCAATTTTTTGCCTATTTTTCACATTTCGAGATTTTTAAAAAAATAGTAAAAATCAAAATTTTGAATTAATTCTCGTTGGAGCTATAGAAGAATACATAATGAAGGTCCATACCAAATTTCAAGTAAATCTGTTGATTTGAACTTGAAATATCATGTCAACCGAAAAAAATGTATGAGAAAATTCTACAATTACGTAAAAATAAAATTTTCGATCATTTCAAATTTCTAGACTAAAATACTGCTTAAAAATGACAAAACTGACCGAATTAAATTTAGATAAAAACATTAATACACTTCAACATCATTACTTCTTTAAAAAAATCTTACCGGAATGATGACACTGATAGGCGCAGCAGCAGTCTTCAATTCCGTCCTATTTTCTTCATTTCCAGGTCCACACTCTAGATCCTCCCCAGAATCATAAATCTCATCATCATCATCATCCTCAGACTCGCTGATATGAACGGAGACCTGGTTGGTGTCAGGCTTAGACCACTCGAAGTAAACACCAAATCCAATATCATAGCCATCAGTAGCGAATTCCCAAAACAAGCATGAGCCATCTTCGTGTGTCGGTACTCTAACAGTGACGGTTTCCCCGTGACCGACTTTAATAACAGCGTCACCACTTTCGCGCTTTATAAGCTTCTTGAACTCATCCACACCGGGCCTTGTCCACATTTTGGGTGTCTCAATTGGCGGCCAATCGGGCTGATCATCAGAATCCTCATCATCGTTCTTATTTTTGTCGTTAGCCGCTTCGTTTTCGTCGTCCTCGTTGTCATCATCGTCCAATTCATCATCATCTATTTTCTTCTTGTCTAAACTTTTGGCATTGTCGATTATTATTTCGGTTTTGTTATCGTCGTTGATCATGATCTTCAAATCCGGTTTGAACTGATTGTCTTCGGCAGTAATTTCTCTACTTCGTTCTCGTTCTCGTTCTTGATCAGGGTCCTTTTTGTCCAACTCAGCGGACTCATCAATCATCAGCCGATTTTGATGAAGTTGCTGCATGTATCGGTGGTAATGCTGCTCCTGAAGCTGGCGAATCAGCACCCCCTGTTCCTCTGGGTTTCCCGGGTACTGCTGTTCAGCATATGCCTTGAACTGGTAGTAAGTTTGTTGATTCAAGGCGTCTTGAATCTGGCGGCGCTGGTACTCGCGTTGAACCCGGTCAGCTTCTTCTCGTTTCTTCTCTTCAGCAGCCTCCTTTTCGCGCAATTCATCGTCTAATTTCTTCTGAGCTTCCGCTTGTTTCAATCGTTTTTGCTCCTCGATGTTCCGCTTCTGGGCCTCGACTACTGTGCGGAACAGAGGACAAAGCTTGTCCAGAAGAACGACGAAACCTTCCATTGCCTGGTCTTTGGTTATGTCGCCGAGGTTTTGCCATGCCAAGCGACGGTCCTTTCCTATCACGTCGAGTACTCCTAGCTCTGGAGAATTTTCCGGGGTGCATTTTCCGTGGGTTGCTTGTTGGGTGAACGCTACTAGCTTAAGCTTGTCTTCGTATGAAAGGTGCACAGCTTTTCCTTCTTTTTCTGGAAAAAAAAAAGATTCATTGATTGATAATTTATTAATGCCAAGGCATAGGTCAAATGACAATTTAAATACAGAATATTTACAACTTAAGTACTAATAATATTAAATCGACGTTCTAATTAGCAAATTGTCTAACTTCATTTTAGAGAATCTTCTATTCGTACGAAAAAAAAAAATTAATTCAAAATTTATTATCAATTTAGAAAACCATTTAATATTATTATTATCTAATAGAGATATAGTATTTAGGTTTGAATCATTCAAATAATTTATAATTGGATTATTGCTACATCAAAATGTTAAAAAAACACCCTCTAAAATATAAGAAGTTAGACAAATTGCTAATTAGACCGTCGAAATGTATAAGTACATAATTCTTAATCTAAATTCAAAAATAATATTTTAATTTTTCTTTCTTTTAAATACTTTTAAATATTTTTAAAGAGAGAGTATGTAATAGAAAATTTGAACTTGAATTGGAAGATCTGGGTAAAATTCTTGGCTTGGACCCAACTGAATTTTTTTATGTTCACTGACTAAAAATCAATGTAAAATTGAGTTTATTTGAAAAATAAATATAATTAAATGTAAATAAAAATTATTATTACACAAGGAAATTATATAAATCAAAAAAATCAAAAGAGCTATTGAAAACATAGAGTTTAATATTTTTTGATAAAATTAATAAATTAAAATTTTCATTTGTTATCAATTATGAATAAAATAACTTTGACTTAATGATTTTTTGATATTTTCTAAGTCAATAGAGATATTTAGGGAACTTTTGAAATAAATTAAAAAAATTATATTACTATGACAGGATCATTCATCAATAACTTAATGGGCAAATGTCAAGGAACAAACTTATAGAACCAACAAACTATTCAAAACTCCTCCAAAAAGTTAGCATAAAAAATTAACTATCACCAAAACTACAAAAAAATCGTAAAAAGGCACAAATACACCTCAAGATTTTTTTAATGATACCAAATTTAACTTATAAATTTCTTTTAAAATAAAAATATCCCCGTCGAAAAGTTTTCCTTATCCTCGTAATTATTTAGATGATAAATTGACTATCACCAAAAAAATATCAAACTGTGAAAAGAGGTAAATTCAAGTTACGACCTTTCTGATGGTACTAAATTTAGCTACAGAACCTCATTTAATATTAAAGATACGTCCGTCACAAAATTTTTATTTTTTTTTAATCATACGGATTAATATTCAACATATTTTAACATTGACATGCACAGAACAAAATAAATAAATAAACAGATTTTATTTAGCGCGAAATTCACATCTATAATTACTCCGAAAATTTATCGGGGTTATATAAATACGTCGGAGACAAAATTTATCTTATTCTTTTAATTTAATTACGTAGATTATGATTAATAATGAAGACTAAAAATGAAAAATTTTGATATCTCACTGCTGCATAATTAACTTTCAAAATCTTTTCAGTTTCAAGAAGAATTGAGTAAATTTATGTTTCGTTATAGATGAAATTATAAATAATTTAACAATACTAAAATCAAGGATTTTTATGCAAAAAGCGGAAACATATGAGTGTTAGGAAGTAACATTGAAATGAAAACATCAATTGAATTGATTGTGGGATGGAATATGCAACAATATATAACTAAACTATAAATCTTGTCTATATAATATATTATATTATATATATATCGGTGGTTTTTTATTGAATCATATAAGTTTTCTCTAGAGCTTTTAATAATGGATGAAAGTTTGTTGTGATATTGACTGTCGCCTTTACTCTTTGCTGCTGCCATGACATTAATAAATGACACAATTTTGTTTAATAAAGAGCACAAGTTTAAGTTATATGTGATGATAAAAGTTAACTTTTGTTGGGACATATAATTAAATTAAGACCATCAAAGTTATTTAATGACATCTTGCTAATATTATTATCTATTTCCCATTTTTCCGATCGATTATTTGCTTTATTTTCAAGTAAAGGTTATTTCATTCATTTTTCAGATGTATCTTTTCTAAAAATACATGCGTTAAATAAATGATAAAATTACACAAAAGAAAAAAAAAAAAATACACATTTAAAGAGAAAAAAATCACACTTGAGAATTTTTTATTTAAATATTTAACAAATTCTATTTTAAAGTTTGAAAAAATTCATGAAATTACTATTTTACTATCGAGTAACTTTTCGATTTGTTCGAGTAAAGGTTGCAGTGTAATTTTTATGTAGTCTATAAATATTAAAACGTACAATCCAGTAAATAATTAAAATACTATGGTCAAGAACAACAATTATAGCGAAGATCCATTGAATAGTTAAGTGATCAGTTAATTTAAAAAAATTGATTTACACTATTATAAAAAAAAAATATAATTAAAAATGATTTATGAAGATTAAATTAGCAGGCATCTGACAATTGAGATTTTTCTTATTGAAAAAATTGTTATAATAAAATTTCACTTGTAGAAAATTAAAAAAACTTTAAATGCAATTTTTAAAAAATATTTTTTGAGTTGTAATATAATTAATGAAAAAAAAAGTTGAAAATGGCATACGTTATAATTAATAATATTTTTACATTTTTTGTTAAAAAAATTTTTTATTTTTCAGTTTCAGAATTATTTGAGACGTTAATAGTTTATTATTGTTGAAAATACTCGAGTAGATTGCGGAAAAACAAGCGATTCCCTATTTTTAGAATATTTATTTTACGAAATTTGTAAATTGTTTACTTTGCAATATCCAATGCTCGTTAGCTTGCGCATTAAAATAAAAATCTTATTAAAAAATTTCATTTAATGATCATAATTATTTCATAAAATGGTTTTTTTTTTTTTTTTTTTTTTTTTTAATAACTCAATGATTTTTCTCAAAAAGTTAAAAGAAATTATAATCTTCAATCTTGCGTAAAAATTAAATTATCAGTTATATGATAATTTTTCATTTACCTGTGTAAAAAAAATCGTCTTAAAATTGTCTTAAAATTGTCGTTCGTTTAAGATCTTAAACGTGACACAAACTAAGACTATTTTAAGATTCTTTTAAGATGCCAAAAAAAAAAAAATTCCGAGATTTTTTAATAATTATTTTGATTTTTTTAAGACTATTTTAAGATTTAAGTTTTAAAATAATTTTTAAGTAGTCTTGAAAAATCTTAAAATAGTCTTAAAGAAATCTGAAAAAAAAAAATATTAAAAAATT